AAGATCAGTTACTGCGGGGTCTTACCAAACTCAAGATCAGTTACTCCAGAGTCTTACCAAACTCAAGATTAGTTACTCCAGGGTCTTACCAAACTCATGATCAGTTGCTCCTGTGTGCAAGGTGATATGAAAGCTGTTATAGATTACACCAAAATGAATTAAGTCAAGACTCTTCCTTCAAAAAATGTAAATCACCCAGAAGAGACAGTAGACGTACACAAACAGCTCTAAGTAAAGCCAAAATGTACTTTGGACAGCGTAGGAAGGGCAAACAAAATCCTGTGGGGAGTGAGTGGAGGAAGAGATGCTCCCTGGGGCGGGAGGATCCGGAGAGCCTTAAGGAGGAGGCTGGTGTCTGCAGCGAGTGCTGGCAGCAGGTGAGGGCTGGCAAGGCAGGGGCACAGCAGGCATCAGGCACAGCACCGGAGAGGCTGCAACGTGCACAGCATGCTCTTGGAGGAGAAGAAAATCACCACCCCCAAATCAGAGCCAACCTCTGTCTCCCTCTCCCTCTTCTGCTCCCTCAGTCTCTTTATTGAATACACAGAATTGCCCATGAAATTTTTATATGGCCTTTTCAAAAGTAGGAAATACCTAAATACTATTAAAAGGTTGACAATTGAGAATCAGAAAAAACCCTGAGTCACACAATATCTGACCGCTCCTATGCATACCCCTCCTCTAAGGCATCCCTGCAGAGCTGGCTACCGACCACACGGAGGGACCTCCAAGGAGAGGAAACTCATGCCTTCCTTGGAAAGCCCTACATATGCGGCCTGCAGATACATTTTTCAGCATTTCCATTCATACTTTCCATCTTGCTTTGGAAAGGGATCGAACCTTTTCAAAACCTTAACACATTGCTTTACAAACTTTGCAGGTAGCATAAATTAAAAAGTGCTGTTTGCACATAAGACATTTTAAAATCAATGAGTCCAAACAAATCAAGCACTAAGAACTGGAGAAAATTCCAGTTTACCCTGATTCAGACAGTTCCCAAGCACCGAATATAATTAAAATTGTGTGCAATGGACACAGTTTTAAACAGGTAAAAGGAAAATGTACACATTTCATCTTTATTATCTCACAGGAGAGCTTTGCAAATTAATGTTAACATCCCATTTTTAAGAATGAAAAATATTATTACAGTGCCCAATATCATCAGAATTGTCATGACCATATAATTAACATGTTTAAAGCATTCTGAGGATGACGAAGCGTCATCCAAAAGCACAGTTCTATTTTTGCTTTTGATTTCGATTGCACCCACTCCTATGCTATTGACATACACAATTATGAAATAAATACACCCTGGCTGCGGCGTGAGGAGGACCCTATCATAACACTTGCATCTGAATAGCTCCTTCAAGCTGGGGTTGTTTTCACGTGCTTCAAATGACAACACGGATGGGGCTAGGCAAAGCAAGGAACGGGGAGCCAGCACAGAACAGGGAGTGGGCACAGAGCTTCAGTGTGGGGAGATGAAAAGCTGCTGGAAGCAGACAGTGGCCGTGACCGTGCAACATAGAGACTGTGATTAATGCCACTCAACTGCACGTTGAAAATGGCTGAATGGTAAATTGTCTTTACATGTCACCACAAAAACCACGTGTATTTTTACCACGAAAATAACACCTTTGTGATCAAACATCAGAAATATTTTCTATGTATAGTAGTAGTTGTTTTTTTCGCGACACTTGCTCTTGCTCTGTCCCTCAGGCTGGGGTGGAGTGGCAGCATTGTAGCTCACTGCAGCCTCGACCTCCTGGGCTCAAGCAATCCTGTCACCTCAGCTACCCAAGGAGCTGGGACTACAGGTGCACAGCACTGCACCTGGCTACTTTTTTAATTTCACAACTTTTTGTAGAAACAGGGTCTCATTATGTTTACCAGGCTGGTCTCAAACTCCTGACCTCAAGCGATCCTCCCGCCTTAGCTCCCCAAATTGCTAGGATTACAGGCATGAGCCACTGTGCCTGAACAATATGTATTTATAAATAATGTTTATAATATGTCTTCTTACAACTTTGCAAGGTAATTAGCATTTTACTCCAGGATTACATATTTAAGTAACTTCATTATACGCAACTGAAAGCAAATCCACAGATATTTATTAAACACCTACTATATATAAGACACTGAATGACACATAAGATCATAGGGCACAATCTCTGTCTTTGAGGAGGTCAAGCCGGCAATCATAAGCCTAAAAATTTTAATATAATCAATATCAAATAAATGTCATGTGATCAATTTGTCAAATGAATGTACAAATGAAATGCCAAGTGAACGACAGGTCACTGAGAGCAGGGGAAGCTCACTGCGGCTACCGGCCAGCAAGGGCTAATTGAGTCCTGCTTCTTTTTAATTGTTATTGCAGCTATTATAACGCATATAAAGTGCTTGCTCTTCTTGAGTCCTCAAAAAGTGGGTCAAATTTTAAAGCCAATTACCTTCAACCCCATGGGTTGCTTCACAGCAACAAAGTTTTGTTTCAGTCACGCTAGAAGCAAAGATGGAGCTGTTAGAACTAAAACACTGGAGCCATCTTGCCCCCCTTGAAGCAGTACACAGCACCAATGAAGGATGGTTTCTACGAGGGACACAGTGTGAAGCCTGAGACGGAAAATACCTCTTCTGGGAAGTGATACATGACCAGCATGGTTCACAGGAAGAGGAAAACACAGCCTTTGGAATCGCTCAAAACGGGGTTCAGTTCCAAAGCCCATCACCTTCTGCGTGACACCGACAAGCTACCAAAACTCCCCATCTCATTGCTTTTAATCTTGTTCACTCTGCCTTCCTTAAAGAGCGAGTGTGCGGTAGAGACAGGCCGGGCATGTGGGAACGTCTCCACGGTGCCTGGTGCCCGTGATGCTCGGGATACCTTCGTGTGCTCCTCAGGCCTCCCGGTCCCATCTCCTGTCGTTAATGCTTAGGCAAGAGAACCACGGTATGGCTGTCCCCATCACGTTTTCCCCCATAGCTTAGGTCCTTAGCCCAGATTCCTAAGGACTAGGTGCTTCGGTTTGCCACTGGATTCCAGTGATTTGCTGGAAAGACAATTTTGATTCACTCTAAGAAATTAAATCTGCTTCTGGCTGTTATCAAGTCACTAATGCATCCTGAGTAGATTTCCGTAACAAGTCAGTTGGGCATAGATGACAAATTCCACCGCCAGTGTGCACAGGGTCTTCAGAAGACAGCAGAAACTCACTGCAGTCAGAAGGCCTGGGTTATATCACTGCTGAAATATGCCACTCACATAACAGCACCCTCCCCTCGAGGGTGAGCAAGGTAAGCAAGTAGCCTGTTGCCCCTCTTAGCCTAATGCTCTGAGACAAACATCTTCACTCACTCCTGCTCTCTGAACGCAGCCTTGCCCTCCATCACCAAAGAAAGGAAAAGCTGTCTTTGCTCTTCATCTGACAGTCTTCCCTACTCATCCCTACTCAACCATATACAGACAGGACACCTTTCCAAAACTATCCAGGAATATAAGGAAGGAAGAATGAGCTGTCTTACAAGTGTATTATCATTGTTTTAGATCAGAAGCTGCTCTGGTGTTTTCTAAAACCTGAACTAACTTCCTGAGGACCCATATCCCTTCCAACAACCACCCTTTTCCAAGTTGTGTCAAGCACCAGGGGTGACCTGCATGGCTCCAACACCTTCGCACAAGCTCCCTGGGGGTCACTCCTCCCCTTTCTTCGAGGTGGCAGCCAGGAAGCTGCAGGGCAGGTTTAAGACCAAAAAGTGACTCCTGGCAGGGCTGCGAGTGTCCCCGCCTGTTTCCAGCCCTGGAGGACAGACTCAGACTGCACCTCCCAGACTTCATGAATCCAGGAGCTCATGACACGGCCTCCTGTGCAATTATCAATTTACACAGCTTCCTGCCTGTGACCAAACTTTTGGATCATGAGGTCAGGAGTTCAAGACCAGACTGGCCAACATGGTGAAACCCCATCTCTACTAAAAAATACAGAAATTAGCTGAGCATGGTGGCTTGTGCCTATAATCCCAGCTACTTGGAAGACTGAGGTAGGAGAATTACTTGAACCAGGACCAGGGAGGCAGAGGTTGTAGTGAGCCGAGATCGAGATCACACCACTGTACTCCAGCCTGGGCTACAGAGCGAGACTCCATCTCAAAAAAAAAAAAAAAAACCAAGAGGCTACCTGGAAACAAAAATAAAGATCCAGAGACAGAATTCTGAAAACAAGGTCCTCAAAGTCTACTTCTTAGCTAAAAAATGTGTATTTAAAATAAATTCTGTTTCCCCAATAGACATATTTTATGTGGACGATGAGTTGCAGAATCTCATAAAGGACCACAGACACACTCTCCCTGGGTGGAGGAAGTTTCCAGGACACCCAGATAGGAAGAAGAGCAAGCCAAGCGTCCCGCGCTGGTTCCCGCTGCCATGTGCGCACGTGCGCCGCAAGCCCTCACTCTCTCGCTGGCCAGTAGGACCAGCTACTGACACTGCACCTCGAACCACACAAGCCAGCACCCCGGATGCCCACACCACACAGCCACCTGCACACCTGCTGCCTTCCTTCACCCTCCCTGACGTTCCCTACTAAAAGTACTATCTTGAAACTCTCTGGGAAAAAGTTTTCAGGTTTATGACTAGAGGTACAGTGGAAAGTAATTAGGACAGGTATAGATGCGATTAGAATAACTCATGTAATTGTCTAGCACACAGGAAACCTGATCTTGGCCACGGCCTGCCTTGGAAAGGCACTTGCTTCCAATTCTGTGCTGGTTGGTGCTTTAGAACCAACTTGTGATCCCGGATCCTTTGACCACCACACATGAGCTCTGTTCAATGTGTTAGGTGCCTTAGATCCAGGCCATTAAAACAAAATAAAATAACTCACCTTGTTGCCCTCAAAATCGGGGGTATTCTCATGTATCTCTTCATCTTCTTTAACTACCTCAGCTGGTCTCTGGGGAAAAAATACAGCACACTGTGTCAACGACTTATGTCGAACTCCTTTAAAAGATCAGAGAGCACGTGAAATAATGCAACCTTTAGACCACTGCTATGGTTAGAGCCGGGGAAATCACTGCAGTTTCTCCAAATACAGAATGGTGTCCGCTCTGCGTTTTTGCCTTTGGTTCCACCAGAAAAATGCCAACCTGCTTGGTAAAACGCTGGAGAAATATCTTTCTTATAAGGAGTGGCAAGGTCGCTCCAGAGGGTCCGGTCGGCAGGTGCTTTTGTAATTCTCAGGGCCCTCTGCTCCCTGGTCAGCAGGTGCCCTCCACAGCCTGCCTGACCTCACTCCTCACACAGCAGTGGGTTCTCACTCGCCACGGTTATTCCTAGTTTTCATGGCACACTGGCAGAAGACAAGAATCTGTCCCAATCTGTGTCCTGGAACCTCTCTCTGCTCCTGGCGAGAAGCAGGGGGTTTGGTGGCCAAAGACTCGACCCTCCAGGACCAACTTCCTTTATGTTTCTGTAGCTGTCAGGACAGGCTGATGAGGCTGCAATAACAAGCAAACCAAGCGTGCGTGCTGCACGCCGCCACAGCCGGCCGGGGGTGTCCTGGCCCCAGTCACTCAGGAAACCCACCGATGGAGGCCCCGACGCCTCCTAATTGCAAAGGAAGAGAAGATGCGGTGTGGGAAATCACACACTGGCTCTTCATGCCCCTGCCTGGGACCACTTACCTGTCACCAGGGAAGGCAGGTGGCATGGCCACCCTGAGTCGAAGTGGGTAGAGAAGTGTACTCTCACTGTGTCACAGAGCAAAAGAAATGTCGTTAGTAATGAGCCATAAAGACCCAACGGCTCCTGCCAGCTGACCTTGAATGCAAGGACAGAGTTCCGTGGCGAGGCAAACGTGTAGGTTTGTCTTCAGTGCAGCCGGTCCCATTGGCCCAGACCAAGCCTGGATGAGCACTGCCTTTCTATAGCTTATGCAGAAAAGCAGTTGCAATAAATAAAACTCTATGGGGAGTGCTCAAACCACATAAAAAATAAGCTATTCATACACACAAATGTTCATTGCAGCACTGTTTACAATAGCAAAGACCTGGAACCAACCCAAATGCCCATCGATGATAGCCTGGACAGGGAAAATGTGGCACATATACACCATGGAATACTATGCAGCCATCAAAAATGATGAGTTCATGTCCTTTGTAGGAATGGATGATCCTGGAAACCATCATTCTCAGCAAACTGACACAAGAACAGAAAATCAAACACTGCATGTTCTCACTCATAGGCGGGTGTTGAACAATGAGAACACATGGACACTGGGAGGGGAACATCACACACTGGGCTCTGTAGGGGGGAAATAGGGGAGGGACAGTGGGGGGAGTTGGGGAGAGATCGCATGGGGAGAAGTGTCAGATATAGGTGATGGGGAGGAAGGCAGCACATCACACTGCCATGTGTGCACCTATGCAACAATCTTGCATGTTCTTCACATGTACCCCAAAACCTAAAATGCCATAAAAAATAAGCTTTTCTAAAACATGTTATTTTAAGAATCAATATAATGTCAATCAAAAACATGTTATTTTAAAGAATAATCTATGTGATGTCAATCACTGATTCATTCATTTATTCAGCAAGGATATCCAGGAGACCTGCCGTACTGAATACCACAGTGCCAGAAGACGCAAGTGATTGTGAGTACTAACAAACATGGCCCTCAAGAAGGTGAGAGTCTTTTAGGGAAGACAGATATCAATTAAACAGTCACACAAACAAAGCAACTGTGACAGGCACTACAAGGAGAGGTACATGGAACAGAAAGAGAATACAATAGTATTTAACAAACATGGGAGACCACCATTTAACAGTAATTGACTATTAATGTAAAATCTGAAGGATGAAACAATGCTAATATACAAAACCAGAAGGAAAAACCATGCCTGGTGCATGGAACAGCATGTGCCCTGTTACAGGAAGAAACACTGAGCTTCAGAGTTGCTGGGGGTCAGTGTATGCAAAGCAGGAGTGACAGCAGTGATCTAACCAAGAGAGGAAGCCAGGTGGGACCAGAGCGACGGTAACACAGGCAGAGAGGGGTGCAGAGATTCCAGACACGTTTAGGAGGTAAAAGTGACAGAGTCCAAGATCTGAATACGGAAGGGTTGAAGAGGTCAGTCTCAGGAATACCTCCTTTTTCTTTTGTCTTACTGAGTGGATTTGGGTGTCATTCACACATGGAGACAGGACAAGAAGAAGGTCTAAGGACAGGAGAAGAAGTCTGTGGTTGCACTGTCCCTCTGCTGAGCTTCAGTGTCTTAGGACATCACGGGAGACGTTAATTCAGCAGAGGTGCATATGTTCCTGAAGGTCACAGACACTGATGCCATGGCGATACAGAATTTTGTATCATAGAGAGGATGTCCAGAGTGAGAGGGAAAGACGCCCAGCCCTCATCCTTGCTGAACACCAGCATCTGATGGCCGGCGAGATGATCAGAAGCGTAAGAGAAGAAGGACAACGCGTGGCCGGAAAGAAAGGAAGTCAGGAGTCTTCTTTGGCAAGAGGCTCTTGCCAAAGGAAGAGAACGTTGAAAGAGAGTGACCAGGAGTGCCAATGGGTGGGGAAGGTCCTGTGTGATAAGAGCTGAGGAATGTGTTGGGTTTGGTGGCAGGGAGCAGAAAAGCTGTTTTGTGCCACTACAGGCAGAAGAAGAGGGGAGAAAATGGAGAAAGTGAGGAGACGCTCCCCGCAGACCAGCTCCCCGCAGACCGGCTCCCCGCGAGAGGGGAGAGAGACATGCTCCAAGAGGACTGAGACCAAGGGAAAGTCGCTTTTATTCATAACAAGAGTGCTTTCTGCGAGCTCACATGCCAGCCAGAAGGACTTGGGCATGGGAGAAGCTAAAGATACCAAGGAGAGAAAGAGAAGTATTAAGCCGCTGATGACACGCAGTTCCTGAGAGGCTCCGAGCGGGACGGGGTCCAGCGTCTGGGAGGAGGGCAGGTATGGGTAGGAAAGGATGGACCTCTCCTTCCACGATGAAGAAGGGGCAGATGGCACAGATCAAACATCCTGTACAGACACTGACAGCTGCCTGGCTCACAGCCACCCTCACCTTGCTCCTCACTTAGAAATAAAATTCGGCCAGGCGCAGTGGCTTAAGCCTGTAATCCCAGCACTTTGGGAGGCAGAGGCAGGTGGGTCACCTGAGGTCAGGAGTTCAAGATCAGCCTGACTAACATGGTGAAGCCCCATCTCTACCAATTACAAAAAATTAGCTGGCCGTGATGGTGCATGCCTACAATCCCAGCTACTTGGGAAGCTGAGACGGGAGAATCGCTTGAACCCAGGAGGCAGATATTGCAGTGAGCGGAGATTGCACCACTGTACTCCAGTCTGGGCAACAAGAGCAAAACTCCATCTCAACAAAAAAAGAAAAAAAAAATCCAGGAGCGCCTGGTCTCCTTTCCAGACACGAGAGGTAAAGGTTGAATTCCTGTAAACCACCAGAGGTCAGTCGCCTCTCCCTGGCTAGGGGCAAGACAGGCATAGACAGGCGGTAACTTTCAGAGGGGTCTCTGGGAAAGCCTTTCCTCCCTGTTTAAATGGCACGGTCTCTCTACTCTCCCCAGATTTCACAGGTCTCAGTGTGCCAGCAGAGACTGCCACCTTGAGATCATGAGGAGACAACCCCAAGGCCAAAGGTGAAGGCACAGAGGGACACAGTGGAAGAATGGGGTGTCCATCTACTCTCCGAGGCTGGAGGGGACCAACCCCAGAGCCTCTCGCACACAGAAGGCTTGAGTCCTTCTGTTCCGTGGCCTGATAAATGTTCCTGATTGTTAAGCCACTTCTTTTCAAGTTTCCCATTCTTCATAGCCAAAACATCCGTACAGATATAGTAGCTAATCATACTTTTAATTTATTCATTAAAGCCAGTACTCCAGGGACCCAGGTGGCCTCCATCTGAGTTACTCTACACACCTAAACGTGCCAAAGCCTTAAAGCTTCACTAGGTTTTTTCTAATTAAACAATTCACAGATTACCCAAGTTTAGATTGACCTTCTCCTAATTAGTCCCAATTATTTTGGTCTCACTTTGGTGGGTGACTTATTCTTATCTCTTTCTCCAGAGGGAAATGCATCACACCCCCGGGAGGCACAGTGCAGGGAGCACTGCCCTAGTTGCTATTTGAGAATCCAAGGAAAGACACTCTCCTTTTGCACTGACTCTTTGAGACTCTCTAAAAATAACCAAATTTTAGAAGAGTAGAAATGGACCCAATCTTTTGTGACTTCAGTCAAACCCTGCTTCTCACGCCTCAGCTGGAGACCTGGGGCTCGCACAGCCTACTTGCCACCTGGGGAATGATGAAGCAGACTGCTCTGCTAACATGGAATTGGCCATGTTCAGAGTAAATTCTAGAGGATTTCCCCAAGAAAGGAATCGCAGCTGAGTGTCCTGGGCTCGGCAGAGCTTCCGATTATACACATTTCCCCACCTTCTTAAAGTAGTTACAAAAATAAATATAATCTTATCGCTGGCAGAAGACATTGCTTTTGTAAAAATGTAATACTTAAATCAGAATTTCCACATTCATGTTTTAACACCTGGATGCCATTTTTCGCATGGATTATAACTGCAAAAATGTGTTCCTTAACACTGGGGTGACATGACTTGAGACGTTAGTGTAAAACTTCACCGCACTCTGAGAAGGAGCGCTTATGAGGCAGCAGGCACACAGGCAGGCACCTCTGCCCATCTCCAAACTCCTCCGCTGATGGAAATGGTGGGGGAGGGGTGGATGCCAAGGGATACGCTACCTGCTGTATAACCAAAGAGAAAGAAAAGTTTGAAAATAAATTATAATTTCTTAAAAATAAAAACCCAAGAAAGGAAGGAATGCATCCCAGGACGGGAAAAAAGTGTTGTTAAAGATTGGCGATTATCCAAGCCACACCACCAGCGAATCGCCCTCTCTCTGACAGCCAGCCACGCCCCAGAGATTCCACCGCCCCCCCCCCCCCCCCTCTGCCTCTTGCTCCCATTCCAGCTCCCACAAGCTAAGCCTTCTGTCCTCTTCACAAGCACTTGGTTCAGGACAAATGAGTTTCCGTGATGCTGAAGCTTCCCCGCTCTATGACCCAGGTAAGTGAGCTCACTGATTGACTCAAGGTACCACTTCCCTAACGCAGAACCCCAATCTTGATCCTCTCATGAGCCACAGATGCGCATTCACAGAATTCTGTGAGGGTCTCCGTGTCAAGTCTGTGCTACAAGATGAGCTTTCCAAACAGCCAGGAGCCCTGGGACGCCGGTGTGAACCTCCCAATACCTGCAGGTAAGCCACGGGCTCTGCAGAAATCCCTTGGGTCTCGGTTCATAGAGACCCGAGTAACAGAAGCTGGTGGACAGAAAAGTGACTGGTGTGATTAAAAGTATGTGTTGCTCTGGGAGTAAATAAATAAAAAAACAATTGAAGGCCGGTCAAGAAAAATGAGAACATTCTAGAAATCCAAGTACAGGTCAAAATACACAATGAACAGTCATCTTGCACTGTCAGGACGACCAACACCCAACACCACCAGCGACCAGGCTTCCCAGCTGAGCCTCCGACCCTCCCTGCCCACACTCAGTGAGGCCAGGCTCCACTCTGTCCTCCCTGCACAGCTATGAGATGTTCCAGAAATGACTTACAAGTACTGGGAGAAGTTCCTAGACACTGGAATAAAGGACAGGTGTCAGGAAAGGGGGCTGCGGAGTCAAAGTCTTACTTATCATCACAAATCATAAAGATAATATGAGGCCCCTCCCTCTGCAGGGACCAAGGATGGATGACATCCTTCATGTATCCAAACCTGACAATGAGAGTTTAGTGACAGATACCGAAGTTGCCACAGGAAAACTGAAGTGTCCTCCCACATCGATGTTCTCTTCAGGGATGCTCGGATGCTGTGCAGTTAGTGTCGCCGACCACGAAGCTACGGCCTGGAATTTAGAGGACTCTACATTCTCGAGGCTCCCTTCTTCAATCTAGAAGGCTTGACTCCAAATTCATACATGCACTAGTCGGGATGTTACATTTGGTGATATTTTATCTTTAGAGCAGCACGACACTGGAGAAAGCATAGTACTGCAGACACAGGAGACAGCGTGTGAGGTGCTCAGGCTAGCCCACAAAATTAAAACTAATTACTCAAAAACAAGAGACAGTATTCCAGGTTACTAAAGAAGTCAGCACCATAAAGCATACTATCAGGGCCAAACTGTCCTTCATTAATGGCCTGGAAAGTTCTGACGGCACGGATATATGCACCTTCCCTGTGTCCATGGGGATGCCAGTCACCCTGACTCAGAGCCAAGAGCCTGCCCCACGTGCAGCACAGGGCCAGAGTGGGGCCGGGCAGCCAGGCAGCCACCTTTGTGCACAGCTGTCCAGGCAGGGACGGCTCGGACGCGGTCATGGCCACCTAGGCCATGACCGCCCCAGCAACAGAGGGTCTGCAGGAACCATACCCCATGTTCCTGCTCCACAGGAAGGACGGAGGTCCTTGGACGACAGCACACAGACGGGGCCTAAACTGTGTGTCACAAGAGTCCCAGCAAGAAAAGATTCGTGGGCAAATAATTAGGATTCACCAAAAGCTCATATACAATTTTTGACTCCAGGATTTCTCAGAAACAATCACTACACTAATGTGCACCATGATTCCAAGGAGAGAGATGAGAGGGACGCTTCCCATGTGTGCTTTCCACAGGGACCTCCTTCAAAGATGCAGAACGCAGTTTGGGCAACACCGCTCTGTCTACACGGCCTGAGCTTCATGCTTTGCCTCTGTTGATCAAGCGCATGGGATTTTCTCGTATCAATTTCTGTCAGATTTCATAAACCTTTTTGGAACATCTGCTGCATGTCAGGACCTGATGAGTGGGAGATAAGCTAAGTCATCATCCCCCCTGCTGCCCCCACCAAGGTGTGCTGTGCAGGAAAGGTCCTCCCAGCACTCAGCTATCCCCAGCATCCCAGCTGACAGCAGCTCTTCCTGCTCCCGTTCTGACACACGACACGCACGGAGGATGCAGAGGGAGGACAGGTGACCCAGCTCACTCTCAGGAGGTCTTCATGTCCACAGACACCATCATGACTGAAAGTCTGTTTCTGTGTTGCTCAAAGCCACAGAACTTGACGGCAAGAAAGTTCCGTTCACTGAGACTTTGCCCCACCTGGTATGGAGAACTGCCACACGGAAAACTCTTCCTGGAAGCCCCTGCTTCTCCTGGCTGGTGGTGGAGCGTCCCAGGGACCTGCCGGCCCTCTTCCGTCCTCCCATGTCACATGAGTGTGGGGTAACCGAATTCACTCCACAACCTCAAATACAAGGAAATCAAAATCGCCGGCCAGCAGAACTTGTGGACATGTTTATTATACGCGAGCAGTTATGACAGCAGTGCCTGCCATCCTAGGATTCTGCCAGTGCTGAAAACTCGTGTTGGACACACTCAGTCTGCAACCCGGAGAGCCCCAGCAATGTTCTAGTGACAAGGGTACATTTGGCATACGGCAGTGTACAATGTCCTACTTTCCCCATCACTAGAAAACTCTTAAGTGGGCAATACGAAATATTTTAACTGTTAGTTTGTGTTTTCAAAAGTCAAATATTTTAGTCACTTTTGTCATGTCGAGGAAAAGAGAAAATAATATTACTAGGAATTTGGAAAATACGACAGGACTCACAGGAAAGGTACTCAAAATGCCAAAAGCTGAAGTGGAAAGCTGGAATACTGAGATGAGGTCCGTAACATTTTTCAAATGTGTCCCCGAAAATAAGAAATACAGCAGAAGTTAAAAAACAAAGTGCCAAAGGTAAGAGTGATCCACCCCGGGGAGAGGGGTGGGAAAGCTCCCTGTATACCGGGCGTCGCTGTGTTATGCTTACAGGAGCAGGGGTGGAGCCCCATCTACTTCAGAGGAATAAAAATGGAACTCTAATGCTAGCACTGACCTTTTAGAGAATACACATTCTTCGCTCAAAAACTAAGAATTGGAAATCTGCTTGTTTTGCCTTCAGGTGGGCGGTGAAGACAAGGCCCTGCGTCTCGAAAGATCATCGAGCACAATCTGCCGTCTGCCTGAGTACTGGAGACTCACCCAGGTGCAGAGCTGGGCTGGAACCCCGGCCTGACCGCATCCCTTCTCAGAACCCTGCTCCCCGCTCCTCCCCGCGGCCAGGAGAAGGGAACGGTGCCCCAGCATCCACCACGCACTAGCGCTGGCCGCACACGCAGGCTACACAGAGACCTGCACAGAGACAGCATCCCTGTCTGTGGATAAGGAAACAGAGGCTCGAGGGTTCACAACCATGCCATCGGATCACACTGTTTCTTCCATTATTCAATCATCACTCCACAAAAACTACGAAGGCCTCCTCCATGCCAGGAGCTCTGGAAAGTACAGGACCCAGTGGTGAGCGAGGCAGCCAGCCCCTTTCCTTACGGAGTTAGGAGCTTAGTGAGGGACAGACACAAGCATCAAATAATGATGAAGCCAAATTTGCGGCCACACACAGTGAAGTGTTAAAAGGGGCCTCTCCAGCAGAACCTGTCGGGGAGGTGGGCACACAGGAGAATGCTTGACACAGGATATGAGATGAGCAGTCTCTAAGTAGGAGGAGTGCAGAACATTCTAGAGTCCAGAGAGAATTTGCAGGGAGAGGGTTAAGGAGGACGCTGAGGCAGGCAGGAGCTGACAGAAGGGAGTAAAGACCCCAAGGACCTCGGTCCCCGACACCCACCTGGTCCACAGGCACCTCCAGCTGCACGTGGCCATCCTCTTTGACCTCCAGCGCTCCTTGGGTTTCCTTGCTAGGAGTTGGTGCTTTATACACGTCACCTTCTGGGGAAAAATCACACAAACTTTACAAACCCATGGAGAAACTGGAGTCCACTGCACATTTTCTGACCCAAACCCAAGTTACAAAGCCAGGCATCCTGGAGCTTCCTGCGTTGCCAGGCGGGCCACCTGGCCAGGGGTCCCAGACCCTGTCCGCCTCACCCCGTTTCCATCTCGCCCTTGCTGTTTGCATCTGCCGAAGTACTCATCATTTTAGCCCCATCTGCTTTTGTCTCTGTCTCTATGAAGGCCCTGGACCCTGAAAGTCATGGCATTGCTGTGGCCACCTGATGCTGTAGTCAGTCCACGAGATGAAATACAGGGAAGACCTCTGTCCAATAAGCCTGTGTCCAGTTAATTCAGTTAGAAATAAATACACGCAAAGTAACCCCACTGGACAGCAAAGTAATAGGATAAATTTTAAGAAAATGCAGCTTTGGATGGGCACAGTGGCTCACGCCTGTAATCCCAACGCTTTGGGAGGTGGAGGTGGATGGATCACCTGAGGTCAGGAGTTCGAGACCAGCCTGGTCAACATGATGAAACCACATCTCTATTAAAAATACAAAAACTAGCCAGACATGGTGGCAGGTGCCTGTAATCCCAGCTACTCAGGAGGTTGAGGCAGGAGAACTGCTTGAACCCGGGAGGTGGAGGCTGCAATGAGCCGAGATCACACCATTGTACTGCAGCCTGGGGGACAAGAGTGAAACTCCGTCTGAAAGCAAGAAAGAGAGAGAGAGAGAGAGAGAGAGAAGAAGGAGGGGAAGAGGAGGAGGAGGAAGGAAAGAGGAGGAGAAGAGGAGGAGGAGGAAGAAGAGGAGGAAGAGGAGGAGGAGGAGGAGGAGGAGAAAAAGGAGAAGCAGAAGCAGAAGAGAGCAGCTTCATTGTTTCTTATTTAACAACAGGGTTCAAACAACCAGGTGCTAAAGTTGTATACTATGAGGTAGTTAACTTAATGGATTGCTAGAAATCATTTCAATCGCATCACAATCAGATGCATTAAATGCTTATAAAATTCCAAGATTCTTGAAAAGTTGATTCTCACCTTAATAGAAGCAATAGGTGAGAGCAGAAGAAAAAGAAGTCAGCCAGCCGGTTCCTTCAACATCCGAAAAGATGTTACTGCGGCCACTGGCAAGCACAATCATCCAAAACCAGAAACTCTGATGCAGACCCGTTCATTTCTCAGCCATGAGTCCCGGGCCTGCCTCAGCCTCACCTGGCCCATTCTCGCCCTTCTCCCCTTCCCAGCCCTCAGCCCCAGGAGAACTGACCCTAGAGTCCTGAAATGAGCCAGAGGAGCCCCTACTCTTGTGGGTAACAGATTAGAAGGTGAGAAGGGGCAGGGAAGTGACGTTCATTGGGAACCCACTGTGTCCCAGGCATTTGATATTTAAAGTTCATGGCCATCCCCAAACAAACTTATTATGTTTATGTTCAATAAGGAGTTGGCCCACAGTTACATGCTCTGTGAGGGCCACAGCTGGGATCCACGGCCACATCCTAGCACCAGGCTGCCTTGCAGATGGAAGGCCTGTGTGCCGGGCAGCCCTGCTGCTTGGGTGGGATGTACATTGCCAAGGAAGAGATTTTATATACAATAATCAAATTTTCTATTACTCTTGATATATAGTAATATGTCAAGTGGAGTGGGTTCAGCAGGCTTTGGTCTAAGAGCCACCTGTCCAATCTCCTGCCTACATGCTCACACACCTGCTTCGTTGCCTCATAACCCCATAACCCTAACCGTAACCCTAACCCTACATGTATGAGCACGTAGGCCTCTCTCCAACCTATGTACTCATGCACCTGCCTCGCCTCCCCATGGCCCAGGCATTCGTTCTGGAGTGGGAAGGGCCAGGAGGGGAAAGGAGCCACAGGAAGCTTTAGGGGATATCCAGGTTTATAGCTGAGAAGTAGAGAGAGGAGCAACAGAAGGAGCTAAGAGGTCATGAGGGTGCGAAGCAGAGAAAACCTGAGAGGTGTCAGAAGGTAACAGAAGCCAAAGTGGGCTGAGTGCAGTGGCTTACACCTGTCATCCCAGCGTTTTGGGAGGCTGAGGCAGGCAGATCACTTGAGATCAGGAGTTCAAGACCAGCCTGGACAACATGGCAAAACCCTGTCTCTACTAAAAATACAAAAAAATAGCTGGGTGTGGTGGCAGGTGCCTGTAGTCCCAGCTACTTGGGAGGCTGAGGCACAAAAATCACTTGAACCAGGGAGCTGGAGGTCACAGTGAGCTGAGATCACGCCACTGCACTCCTGTCTGGGCAACAGAACAAGATACCATCTCAAAATAAATGAAAAGAAGAAGCCAAGATGGGAGGAAGGGTATTTAGGAAAAACTACTTCCAAAAACGTTCAGCCACTGCAGAGACGGGCAGGAAAGCCTCTCCCACCACCCTGGTTCCTCGTCCATAACCAGCCGCATGACTCACAGTCTCTTACTAAGTATCCTATATATGCGTAAATGAGACAGGACCTGAAGGTGCCTACTCAGAGCTGGGCACCCAGTAGGAGCTCAGTGAGAGTTAGTAATGGTAGCAGAGTGGTAGCAAATAGACCTAAGAGCACTTTCCATATTACCTCATTTGGAATCTAGCTCTGAAGATCCATCTTTTAAATATCTCCTATACTCAAAAAGTACAGCTAAACAATCTAGGTGGTTTCTGTCTTCATATTTCTCCCAAAAGATAAATTTGTGTGTGGCTGTCTATGTCATCAGTCCTCAGGGGGAAGATTCTCAGTCCTGATGGAAACTGATTTGAAACACTGTGTTTATCTTGGAGGCCCCTACTTAGGGAATCCCATTGCCTTCAGCAGTGAAATTTTGTTTTTCTGCTCTGCCCACAACTGACCTACCTACAAGCTGAACATTTTATTAATAAAGCAGATAGTTACAAGTCAAACAATATTTCTTGAGTATAAACTTTTTCTGAAAAAAAAAAAATCCCACATTCTTAGGCTGGTAACATTTCGAACTGCCTAAAGTAGAAGAAATTGCAAGTCACCTGCTCCCCTTTCGACTAAAGGTTCTACCAATGTTTTCTTCTTTTCTTCCTTGGCATGATAAACAGAATCCTGTGTTTTAGGGGGTATGCCATCATATTTACGAGGTTCTTTTCCTTTGGCATCCACCTACAGGACAAATTAAGAAGAGAAAGTCCATTAGGAAGAGTGGGATTCAAGGAGTCCGACCAGGCTCTCTCTGTGGCCGGGAAGACACGGGCCCCTCCGAGAAAGAGCAGGAGGAGCCACAGGCACCGCCAAGAAGCCTCACTCCAAAGCAGCCCCCTCTACTCTGTCACTTGCATTCCCCGCTGAAAAGCAGCAAACATAATTCTCTCCCTCCCTCCCAGGACCTTGGCAGGCAGAGGTCAATCCACTTCCTAACTGTAGGTGGCCTTCCTAAGACCTGACCAAAGAAGGGCTTGCTTTAGGGAACAAGTACTGCAAAGAGGCGCCTCTGGTTTTTTGGAGACGCTCTTTAAAGCCGAATGGAAACTGCTGTCCAACGAGCATCACAAAGCCATTCCTGCTGGAGCCTCTGAGCAGGATGAAAGGATCTGTGATGAAGATTAGCCATGCAGCGGATTCCTTTGGGGTTGCAATAAAGGAGAACTCACATGTTTTTTAATCTGCAAACAATAACAACAAAGCACAACTAGAACACAAAGTGAGATGATATGCAGATACCTGCTCCTCAGATGAGGATGTCGTCACATCCTGATGAACGCGTCCAAGGTGAAAGTGTCTTCAGTGGAAAATGCATTTAATACACATAGCCGACTGCACACCACAGTGCAGCCGTACCTGAAACCTGCTCAGAACATTTGCATTGGCCTGGAGGCGGCAAAGCTCATCTGGCATCGCCGTCCACCGCAGAGGGCACGGGGCTGGCAGGGAGCTGTGGCCGTCACTGCCCGGTGTTCCAAGAGAGTAGCCTACAGCTTTCTACTGAATGCGTGAGGCTTTCGCACCATCACACAGTCAAAAATCCTAAGTCGAGCTAAGTCAGGACTGGCTGCGATTCCCTTAGCACCATTCCAATTCTATCCCATGAACTATCTTTATAATACTGTCTTTTTTACGTTTTCTTTTTTTTGATCTTTTCTCAAGTATTTGGAAGTGAATGGAGGCTGAAGTATATAAATAGGTATTTCTCCCGAGCTCTCTATGTCACATAAGAAATGTCAAACTAAAAACACCTGCTTCGTACCATTAATATATGGCATATGATGCAAACTACCAGGTTTTCTGTCTTTGTGGAAATTAAGATATGAAAATAGCCCTCCAACTTTGTACATGCGACCATACAAAATGTTTCTGCCTATTTTAAGGGGTTTTCCTTAAGGGGTTGAAATTAAGTTCTTAAGTAGAAGAAATGAGATCTTAGCAGGTCATGAAAACAGAAAATGGTATATGGTGCTTGTATTTTGGCTGGGGATTGGGATTCTGAAAGTCTAGTTGATTCTTTTCAGCTTCCCTGAACTCTGGTTGTTGAGACACATTTTCCATATCTTTGGCCTGTAAGATAGACACTGTGTGTGCGTTTGTGTGTGTGTGTCTGTGTGTCCTGTTATCTCTGGAATAGTACTCAAAGGACAATGACAAGCGTACATGACCCACGCTGGTAACGAGGGCACAGAAGCAGTTGTGACACAGAACACACCACAAACAAGAACCACCCACTCCCACCACCCTGGGCACTGCAATGAGACACAAACGCAGGGCCCCCATCCTGACCTGGAAAGTCACCTGGAACAAAAGCAACTTTGGATGCCGCAGGATGACTAGGTGAACAGGGGATACCTTGTCATTACACCTATTTATTTCTCACCTCATACCTATCCAAGCACACGCAGGAAACGTGAGTTTTTGCAAATACCTCATTTCCATGAAATCAGGGGCAGCACAGAGTCAGCCTCCTGTGAAGTTGTGGCTCAACAGTCCCTCTGCCCTGTCACTCCCAAGAGAGATGCCCGGTCACTTCCCTTGCCCTTCACACTTTACCCACAGCAGCATATGTAATCCATAGATAATTGATTGATGATGTTTGTTGTGTTTTTCTTTTACCAGCAGAAGTTTAGAGGCCACCCAAGGCAAGGATGTTGGGTTTTTTCTCCATTAACGAATTCCCAGAGCCTAGAACCATGCCTGGCACATTGCAGATACCCAGTAAATATTTGTTAACTGAACAGGTGAATAATGCCAGCACAACTGATGATATCCCACCGTTCAAATCCCGAAGGAGGTAGCCACAGCCTTGGGAGGACATCCAAACTCCTGAGCCTGGCAAAGTGGCTTTCGTGCTCCAAGACCCACCTGCCTTCCTAGTTCAAGCATCCTTCCCTGCACCATACCTGTGCCCTCACAGCTCCCTTCCACCTGGAATCCCCTTCCTCACCTTCTTTTGATGGCTCATCCTCCAAACCCCAGCTCAAGCCCAGGTCTCTTTGGAGTGTTCCTATAACACCTGGACATAGCTAACCACAGTGCTAAACAGAGTCAGCTCTCAATATGTGCGTGTGTTCAATTAAGCACGCATAACAGTTGCTCAGTAAATCTCTGCTGATTTAACGAATTGAGCAGGAGGATGGAAAGAAAGTAGGGAAAGAAGAATTGAAAATCTGGCAGTCTTCAGACAAGAAATGGCAAGGCATTGATAGAGACAGATTCTGCAGGCCAGGATCTTTTTAAATATGTATTTTTTCTGAACTATTTGGGAGACAGTGTCTTACATCATGCACCTTTGCCTCTTAGTACTTTAGTACTTAATACTGAAGACAAGTGATCTGTTTAATACTTCAGGGAGTGTTTCCTGACAACAGAAACGTCATCCCTTACATGATCACAGACAATTACCAAATTCAGGATATTCCCCTGATGCAGTGTTTTCATCTATCCTACCATCCATATTTCAATTTTGTAATTGCTCCAAAAATGTGCTTTATAGCATTTTTCACTCAAGAAAAGATCTGTTCAGGATTCAAATCACATTTAGATGCCAGGCCTCCTAAGTCTCCTTTCACCTAGAACAGCTCCTCAGACTTTGTCTCTTATGATCTTGGCATCTTTGAAGAATAGAGGCCTGTCTTGCATTGTTTTATAGAAAGATCTAGAGTTGGCTATGTGTTAGTCCATTTTTACACAGCTATGGAGAAACACCAGAGACTGGGTAATTTATGAAGAAAAAGGGGTTTCATGAACTCACATTTCCACATGTCTGGGGAGGCCTCACAAGCATGGTGGAAGGTAAAGGAGGAGAAAAGGCACATCTTACATGGTGGCAGGCAAGAGAATGTGTGCAAGAGAACTGTCCTTTATGCAACCATCAGATCTCATGAGACCTACTCACTATCACAAGCACAGCATGGGAAAAACCCATCCCTATGATACACTTACCTCCTACCAGGCCCCTCCCAAGACATGTGGGGATTATGGAAGCTAAATTCAAGATGAGATTTGGGTGGGAACACAGCCAAACCATATTGGGCTATGTCTGCTGTTTCTGCATGATTAGATGACAGTGACGCATCCCTCACTGGAGGCCCTCTCAGGTGTCACATCTTGGACTCAGGATGTCTGTCTGTCCTTCACTGGTGACGTGGACCATGCATTCAGAGCACAAAGCAATACCACTGTCCTTTCCAGCTAATGCCATCAGTAGGACATGCAAATATGCTCTTCCCTCCCAAACTTCCCTGCCCTAAACTTTGGTCCAAGCCTGAGTCTGTCCTAGTCAACCTTCAGAATATAAAGCTTTTCGATGAATCTCACTAAAGTGGAAGATCTTGACTTCGTTTTCTTTTTTTTAGTTTTTATTTATTTATTTTTATTTTTAAAGATGGGGTTTCTCCATGTTGGTCACGCTGGTCTTGAACTCGCGACCTCAGGTGATCTGCCTGCCTTGGCCTCCAAAGTGCTAGGATTACAGGCGTGAGCCACCACACCCAGCCTAAGATCTTGACTTCTTAAACAGTCCAAATTACAATATAAGTTGGAAAACTCACTAAAAGCAACAAAATTTTAATTCCATGGAAAAGGGAAAATATCATCTAACCCCCAACACTACATGAGGACCTTACAAACTGAATCACACACAATCCTAGTATTACACTTACTTTTCTTAATTTTGCTTGGCTTAAACTCTCTGTCTTTTAAACATGAAGTCTCCAAGCAGTTCACAATACTTGGGTCAGAGGAGAGCAGAGACTATATCTTCCTAGTTGCATACAACAGAGGTAAGTAACAATAACTGCTGAAGTTGATACCTCCTCTGGCAACATTACAATTATAATTTAGTCTATTCGTGTAAACGATCATGCTAATAGACTAAACATTTGCAAAGGTTGTAATAACGCAGGATTCAGATTTTCTTTCATTTTTCTTGTATCTGAGCAGTAGCATCCTCAACGGTCACTGAGCAGCTCTGGTGGGTGAATTCATTCATTCCCCCAGTAATCACCTACTGAGTGTCTACAAGGTATCCAGTTGGAAATACATGACTAAAGGGCACAGTTCTGCCCTGGAGAGCACGGCAGAGAGAAACACACAGGTAATGCCAAGTGCGAGTGCCTCACTTGGTTTTGTGTCCATTCTAAAGGGTGGGCTGTGAAGGAAGGTGGAATGGGCCCAAAAATGGCTTTACAGAGAAAATGGTGCTTAGAGTCAGACAATGGGAATAGTCAACGGTGAGACATGTATTCCAGGGAGAGCAAAGAAAACTGCTAAGAGCAGAGGGCTGTTTGACTAGAGACCCTGTGCAGCATGGCAGGACTAGAGGCACCCTGGTGAGTGCTCTTGCATTGATGACACAGAACTGGACAAGGACACAAAACCCTGGGTATGAGCCAGGGTCGAGGGCAAGGAGCCTTTAGTTACAGCACTAATTAAATCTCCCTTTTAGAAAAATCCGTGACCATTCTAGATGCCTGGCCAGCAGTGGGCGCTCCTGAGCTGGGTGACATCCCAAGCCCCCCTCACCAGCGCTGGGTCTTGGCACCCCAGGTCAGCTGTGTGGTCTCAGGTCCCTCTGAGGTGTGATAGAATGGGAACGGTGCCTGCCTCCTGGGGTTGTGCTGGGGACCACAACACTTGAGACAGGGAGGGATCTCTGAGACAGGCTGGCAGCTGGC